ATGTTGAGATAGAAAAAAAAAGTAAGATTGAAAACAATTAGGTGTTTATGTGGAAAACAAGAATGTATGGAGCCAAATTAGCTAAACAAGTATTGCAGGGGAACTTCAATTTATTTGAGGACTTAAATAGATCTCTGCATACTGGAGACTAGGTGAGATTTCATGAAGTCAGATTGTCAAAAATAGTAATATTCTGGGTTTTCTGCACATTCCTCAGGAGTCTTCAAAGGCCACTGTCTGAGGCAGGATGCTGAACAGGCCTGATGTGTGATTCAGATCCCTTCTGTCCATATTCTCAGAGTTACCTAGTGCACAAAATTCACTGCTTGTAGCCCAGTTATTGTGACTGAATAATAACATTACCATCTTTAAGGCTAGTAGCAAAATTTAAAAGTTCTTCTTGAAACCTTTGCTGAAGGAGCCATACAAAGAATGAAAACAAAGAACAAGCAAGCAAATCACTGACCTTTTTAACTTGCAAATTGCCAGCAACCAAAGTTTGAATTCTGACGGTGAAATTATTTTCTGATAAAAAATCAAATTCTAAAAAGAAAATCAGATTTTTTTCTGAAATTTTTCAAATATTATTCACCCCTACCCCTCAGTTACGGCATATATTCTTGAGCACCATCTACTGGTGCTGTATTATTAATTAGTTATCTATGACTATACAAATCACCTCTAAGTAAATGAAATTGAGTTATATAGTCTTTCAAAATATATTTAAAATTGACAAGGTAGAACATAATCTATTATTTATTAAATTAATCTTTCCTCCTAATAACAAAGACAAAACTAATAATGGTGAAATTCACTTAGAATCTGAACACAAAAGGGAAATAGAATATTTCTTAATAATTTGTAGCATCCTCAACCAGAAAACATACGAATGAAATTATTTCCAATTTACACTTAATCTCACCCTGTTAGAGCAACAAAATGTTTTTCTCCATTTCATATTTAGGTATTTATTGTATTATATAATACCTGTAATATAGCCAGTGTCTTCCATTTTATTTCTTCACTTCAGACTAAATTAAATAACATTTCTCTTGAGACGGTCACACCAGTTTTGGATTTAAAATTTTCCCTGACTTATAACAGGGAAATACAGTTTGGTGTAATGCAGTAGAATCTGTAACACAGAGTAGAAAGTCTAGTCTTGCCAAAGGGGATTTGGAAGGGTCCTGCCTATCTGAATAAAGTGAGATTTGGGGAACAGACCACTTCTATATAAGCTAAAAGGCTCAGCGAAAATATTCCTCAACTCTTACCTGTAAGTTGACTCTATAGCAAGTTTATTGTACACACAGAAGGACCTATCTAAGTGTCTGTGACACTGGAGTCAGTTACACATGATGATAATAATAAAGAATTAAGAACAAAGATTAAAGTCTTTGTTGAAAAACCCTTCTATGAGGATTTTTTTTTTAAATGTGTGCCTTCAGTATTGGAGATAGACTGTCTTACTTGTTCAAAGGAGTGACACTGAAGGCTGCAACAGTGACCTTGACTTGAAAAGAGGCCCCTAAGAGTGACAGGTGATGAAATGAGAGAACAGACCATTCTCCAAAGCCTCTTGCTTTAAATTGTGGTCTTCCTTTTAAAATTTATCCCCAAAATGACAGTGAATTACAATTATAATTCCAATTCCAACTGTGTTGAATTTCATGCTGTGTTCACTAAAATCTGATCTGAAATCATCTAGCTGTTGTCACCAAGATATCAAAGATCTCAAAGTGCTACTGCAGATTGGAAAAAAACCCAAACTCAACCAATCAACAAAGAACTAAACATATTCTTTAATTTATTCCATCCAACATATTAAAATGGATAAGCCTCATTTTTCTCACTAATACAGAGATTACTTAAAAATATTACTTTCCTCTCTCTTTCCTAGTTTGGATCAAGCCCAATCTTGCTGAAACAATTGCACTGAGTCTAGAAAGCAGCACTATAAATTTAGCCTTCACTATGTTGTGCCTATCCCTACCACACTACTACTGAGTGACATAACACTTCTTTCAGTGCCTTGATACTCTGTAGTACAGATGGTACCACGTGTACCATGCAGGGCTGACAGCCCTCCCATGAAACAGTGTGGGATTACATTAATACATTATTCCTAGGTTTTAATAGAGGTACTCAAACAAGATGGATCTACTCAATATTTCCAGATTATGTGTATAGGTTCACTTTATATGTGCCGTTCAGACTGTAGTTTGGGAATAAATGTACATACCAAACAGTACCATTCCAAACACAAATGATCTGCATGCCCAAATTAAACAAACATACTGTCCCATTTATATTTATTTATATTTTGCAAACTTAAACATATCCTGAATCTCACTTCTAGACTATCAAAATGCCAGGTTTTTCTTATCACAAAAGCTGCATGACACCTGGCAAACAAAATTATTTCTCAAGTTGGCCTCAGTTCAAGAAGAAAGGCACCTGCAAGTGGATCATGGATATTTGTATACTTAGAAAAATGGTATAGCTTATTTTAGTTAGTTTCAGTCATTAAAACCCGCATTGTTCAAGTCTAATTGCAGCAAATCTTGTAAAGTGTGCTTTACAATCTGCAGAGGGCTCCCATCCCATCCCATCCCATCCCATCCCATCCCATCCCTCTGTTCTTCAGCTCCCATCATTAACCTAAGAATGGTTTGTGCAACTTCCACCCTTTCCTTCAATTTGTAGACAGAGAGTCTAAGGAGTCTTCCCTCCCAGATTCCTCTCCAGCATCGCCATGTCTTCACAAAACTGAAAAGTGCAAATTAATCACCACGTTGGAAAATCTAGGAGATTTCTAAAGACTGTAGTTTACCATACATTGTGCACTTATTATTTTCTCATTTCCACTCCCAATTAAAGGAGCTACAACTTGCCAATGCTATAGGAACAGGTGAAACAGTTCATTCAGGAAGGTTTTTTTGTGACTTACCCCCCAGTTCTTCATCTAATATAGAGGACATGAAAAAAATATTTAAATAAATGCATTTAAATGCTATTTAAATGCATTGTATGTACACCTCTGATTTGTTCTCCTCATATCGCCCTGTCAACGGACCAAAATTCCCTTGAAGTATTTCAAGCAACATGATGATCACCCACATGGAATGTCACCCAGTATGGAATGTCACTGATTCTGAGAGAATATGATTATCTCTAAGCCAGTAACAGTTCACTTTTCATTGCATTGCATTTGCTGGGCATAGATCCTGCGTATCTCCCACAGCGTCCTTGGTCAGATATTTTTTGTTTTATTTTGACAACAGCGACATAAAGTATTTGCAATTGTAAAAGCTATGAGGGATGTGGTTTACAGCTTGTACCTATGGAAAATACAGTAAAAAGCTATAACTGTGCTTTCGTTTACTTTGGTCAAGTGGTTTGTGACCAGCAATACCTCTGATCAGAATTTGTGCAGCGTGTAATTGTAATCATAAAAGCTCTGTATTACTGGAATTCACACCTTGCAGAGTCTAGAACGGGGTTGTAGGGGAGAAAACAGTCTACTCTAAGGACTGATTGGTTTGGAAGTTTTCCAGAAGTTTAAACTTTCATTTTCAGTGTGGGTGGGAGGTCGTGTAGCCACGTTACATATGAACTTTGAAGGTGTGGAGGGGCAGTACTGCCCCATAGCCTCAGCAGGGCCTTGTACTCTGTGCAGAATGGCAGCAGTGGAGTGCACGGCAGCCAGGCTGAGAGCTGCTGACTGACAGCAGCATTTATTAAAATGTCATCTCCTAATTTTCACGCCGGATATCTGTTGTCGTGTAGACTGCCCCAATATCTCACGCCAGCGGGAAGGGCCAGAGAATAACCCAACCTGCCCTGAGGAACGGGAGGGACATAGCCTGAGGGGAGGGGAAAAAAAAAAAAAGCGTATCCAACCCTATTCAGCTGTAGCAAAATAACAATTAAAAAAAAAAAAAAAAAAAAAAAAGGGGTGGGGAGGATGCCCTCCTTGTGGCACGGCTCTTTCCACGAACCTCCCCCGTCTGTCGGACCCCACACGCCGATAACGGGAGCACTTGAGCCGCTGTCGCCTCTCAAACTCCGCTCTCCCGCGCCAGGCACCCGGCACTGGGCACCGCTCCGGGAAACCCATCGGCTTCCCCAGCCCTCCCGTGCGGAGGGCGGCCGGCGGCAGCCAGGCGATGGATGCGGCCGGAATCGGGCACAGCCTTATCTCTGCCAGGGAACAAACACGGCGTTAATTGCAGCCGCTCTGAGGAAATTGCTATTGTTTCAAGTCAAAGGCGGGCGGCAATTTGAGCGGGTTTATCCCGGGAGCCCTGTATCAGTTAATCTGCATCGCGGGGCCGAGCCGGCAGCTCCTGGGGCTGCGGCGGGGGTGTGTGGGGGTGTTGTGCTTTGGAAATAAAAACAAGAGGAGGGAGATCAAGCACGGGCTTCCCGCCCCGGCGTCCCCGTTTCCCTCGCTCCCCGCCCGTGGGTTTTTCCTGCGCCGAGGCGCTGCCCCAGCGCTGGGCACGGCGCACAGAACACCCCCCTCCCTGCGCGGCCAGCAGCCTTTCTGGGGCGCGCTCGGGGCCGCGCACCGGGGCCGCGCGGAACGCACCGCGGGCCCGCCCGCCGGGGTCGGTGTCGGGGCCGCGCACACGCGCGCACAGCGCGGACACGCGCGGAGCGGGGCGCAGGGGCGCGCACGCAGACACCCCGGCGGGGGCCGCGCACACGCGCGCACTCACGGCCCGGCACTCACGGGGGCGGGCGGGCGCTCGCACACGCGCGGGCGCGCACACGGGCGCGCACCCGGAGCCACACGCAGCGGCACAGACGCGCTCCCGCTCCCGCCGTGCTCCCTGCGCGCCCGGCAGCGCTCGCACCGCTCCCCGACATCGGCAGCCAAGGACCCCCCCGCCGCTGTCCGGCCATTAGTGCCTGGGGGGGGGGAGGAGGAGGAGGAGGGAGGAAGGAGGAATAAGTCTATTAGTAATAACAACAACAACAACAACAAAACCCACCAACAAATCCGCACTAGCGCCTTAGTCCTTCTCTCAGACCGTCGACTGCCTGGCATCGCCGAGCATCGGGCTGCTGTGCTGGGACTTTGTTTCAAGTAAAAAAAAAAAAAGGCAAACAAACAAAAAAAACCTTCGCTTGCTCAGCCACTTCCATTTTTTCCCCTGCAGTCTCGCTGGTTTGAGGTGGTTGTTTTTTTGTTGTTGGTTTTTTTTTTTTTTTTTCCCTTCATGTGGTTGGATTTGGTGGATCCGGAGCCAAAGCTGCTTTTTTTCCTCGGTGGGGTGTGCGTGTGGCGTGCGGGGATTTTCTCGCTGCGTTTTTTATCTTCTGCTGCTTTTTTAATCTTGGTTTTGAACCTGAGCCGGGAAAAATGGGAAACGGTGCTTCCGTCAGAAGGGGAATCTCTCCATCACTGTTGTTGGGACGTGTGCCTGTGGTGGTAGTGTTTTAGAGAAATAGCCTGACAGCTTTCGGAGTGGAAGGTAAGGGTGCCCGGGGCATTTCCATTTCCCATTTCCAGGGATTACGACTGGAGAGCTTTTAGCTTGGGATTCCGGGGAGGAGGCGGCGGAGGAGGGGGACAGGCTGTTGCTGAAGGATAGAGAGAGAGAGAGAGAGAGAGACAGCACATACGAAATGATCTCCGCATTTACTTCAGCGCTGCAGTTTAAAAGTTAGAGAAGTCCGTCTTGCGACAGGTCTGCTTCCCTGAGAGTAATTTCCAGCGAGACCGAGTAAACCTGAGGTTTGTGCACGATTGGGGTAATTTGGATTGGGGGGAGGAGGGTGGGAGGGGGGGGATGTTAGGTTAATAGGAAGTTAAAATAAGAGAAGTCAGTGGGTCTTCTGTTGGGGAAAAAAAAAATAAATGGAGTGATGGCGCCGTCTATGTTCGGCTAAACTACAGTGTCACCTAGAAAATCAGTTTGGGGAATATCCAAACTAAACGCCCGTTTCTTTTCAGCAGAAGAGGATTCTCCCCCTACCCAAATGGGCAACCTTAAACCTCTGTGGCCGTTCTTTAACCCCCTCCTCCATGGACAAGAAAGATCTTTTTAATCTGAGTGTCCAATCCTTTTAGTGAGCAGATTCATTCTACATCTAGCTGTATTGCAAACTAACTGAAATGCTGCCGGCACACTCAGTTCGTGTGTCTCTGTGCATGTGTGTGTGTGTAATGCACACAGAGAGAGAGAATAAGCCACTGTTGTGTTTCTGTAGCCTTGTATGAACAAATGCACAACTAAAATGACGGCTGATTACATTTCTTCATAGAAAACAGCCTAGCACTGCAGACGTCTTTATTTTTCTAGTGCAGATATTACATAGGATGGGAAAAGTCAGAGGCTTTTTTTCCTTTTCATACGGAAAAGTAAATAAGCTCCCTTTCTGCTTTCCAGATTATAAAATTAATCCTTTTTCATGGGTGGAATTCTTAATTTAGACACTTATTGTCACATTGGCTTTCAACGCCTACACCATCCTGAATAACACTGCGCAGAACTGCATTGCCTGCAAAGTGCTTCAGCAAAGGGGAAATTGTTTCCAGAATTCCCAATAAGTTTCTGTTTCTTAAAACCTTAAATGCTATACCAACCCTATTTGGAGAAGGAGGACCATGTTATTCATTGAGATGGATGCTCAGAAAGGAGAAAATCTGACTCTGTGGACAGACCCAGCAGCAGCTCTGCTTTTTTTTTTTTTTTTTTTTTTTAAACCTCTGCTATAAAGAGGGTTAGAGTTGGTGCTGCTTTTTGCCCATTTCAGGATTCAGAGTTTGCATTATAATCTAGGAGATACGAAAATCTCTTCAAGGGAGCTTAATCCGGTGACTTGCTGTGTGTTACGCAATGGGAAACAGAAGATGCCTTGCTGTTTGGTGAGGAGATGAAAAGCTAGGCAAAGACACACATCAAAACTCAGTAACGGTGCCTATGTGTATGTCTGCTTCTGCTTACTGAGCAACAGTGGAAGAGACCTCAATTTAGAGAGTTTTGAAATTAGGTTAGTATCACTGCTTTCTGCTTGCATTTTAGAGCAGAAAGCAAAAAGCTACTCATTTGTAAGAGACAAGCAACTTCTCAAAGGTTAATGCTGAAAACAGTCAATTTGAATTTCTTTTGGTATCGTTACAGAGATAAATATAACTACGGTTTGCTGTATTAACCTAGGCCACTGTTATGAGAACAGAGCATGCGGAGGTTGTGAGGGTTGACAGGTGCAGTAAGACAGCTTTATTTGGAGATACTAGCAGAGAAAATGTAGTATGTCTTTCATTGTTCAAGCACACGGCTGCAAAACACAGGAACTAATCAGACAGTACAAGATATTTGTAATAAGAGGGCAAGTGCAGTCCAATAGGTGCAGAGATCCTGCTGTGGCACTGCCAGCTATATAGAGCTGGTGGTTGTAGATACTAATACTGTAAACTATTTTATATATCCTTAAAGGTTGAAGCCATTGAAACTATTATCTTAAAAAGCTGTCATTTAGTGGTAGTGTCAGACCAGTAATAGTTTAATCTTTTTTTTTTTTCTTTCTTCAGTAGTGTCAAAATTTTATTAATACATTAATCTCAGTATTTGCTGCCTGAGTTTCCTTTTTATAGAGATCTCTGTATACCAGGTGGCCGGGGGGAAGGCATGTAGGCATACGGGAGATAATGTTCCATCTGTGACAAATAGTAATTTGTGCATTTTTAAGTTATGGCTGTAATTCTTCAGTTATTTCTCAGACTTAATAGAAAAATAATGTATAACAACAAATGCTACCAGTTTTTCTTTTTCTATTCTGGTGATAATCTGCATGTGCATATATGACTAAAGCAGATTACTTATTTACTTTTTGAAGAAATAAATAAATAAATTTCCCCTCTCTTGGACTGTCGGGTAAGGCATCTAGGCTTTTGCTTAAGTTGAGCAGTTCTAGTCCACGCCATGATGACTACATCCTAGAGAGGAGAGGACATTCCTATTAATAATCTAATAGATGTTGAGTTTTAATTTGCCTGTGGAAGACGTGTCTGTCGCGGTGGCCACATGATGGCGCTGTGAACACAGCGGCAACCCCGGCCCTTGCGTTATAAAATAAAAATTACCTGCCCTTCTTTCTGAAAGGGGTTCTAACTGCAAGCTTGAAAACAGCTGGCTCGAATATTGGAAGGAGTTTGGTTTTCTATGCGTGAAGAATTCTACTTGCATTTTTATTTCATTTCATCTCCTGCAGGCCAAATGACATAGGATGAAGGCTGTTCGTAATTTGCTGATTTATATATTTTCCACCTATCTACTGGTTATGTTTGGATTTAATGCTGCCCAAGACTTCTGGTGTTCCACGTTGGTGAAGGGGGTCATTTATGGATCGTATTCTGTAAGTGAAATGTTTCCTAAAAACTTCACAAACTGCACTTGGACGCTGGAAAATCCAGATCCAACCAAATATAGTATTTACCTGAAATTTTCCAAAAAGGACTTCAGATGCTCCAACTTTTCCCTCTTGGCTTATCAGTTTGATCATTTTTCCCATGAAAAAATAAAGGATCTTTTAAAGAATAACCATTCTATAATGCAGCTCTGCAATTCCAAGAATGCTTTTGTATTTCTGCAGTATGATAAGAATTTTATTCAGATACGTCGCGTCTATCCTATCAACTTCCTGGGATTACACAAAAAAGAAGAAGACCAAAAATCCTTCTTTGAATTTTTGGTGTTGAACAAGGTGAGCCCAAGCCAGTTTGGGTGCCATGTGTTATGCACTTGGTTGGAGAGCTGCTTGAAATCTGAGAACGGGAGAACTGAGTCCTGTGGGATGATGTATACAAAATGCACCTGCCCTCAGCATTTGGGAGAATGGGGAATAGACGACCAGTCCCTGGTGTTGCTCAATAACGTGGTGCTGCCCCTCAACGAGCAGACAGAAGGCTGCCTGACCCAGGAGCTGCAAACCACCCAGGTCTGCAATCTCACCAGAGAAGCCAAAAGGCCGCCAAAAGAAGGTAGGTGCTTCTTGGAGGGGGGCTGAATGCCAAGCCAGTGTGTAAGCCCGAGCTGCTGGCGCTCCTTAATACTCACATTCATTTGAGCTGCTCTCCACTCTGGCTCTCCTCTAGACGAGGCAAAAGGGCTGGAGAAGATGCACACTCCCTCAAGGCAGGGAAGGCTGCATTTTCATTTCTAAACTGGTCTAGGCTTCAGCATATAGTTCTGCTGAGCACTGTTGAAACTCCTTACAAGTGAGATCCATCTGTTTTAAGGCCTCACTTACAGTAATTCCCACAGGTTGTGAGCCAGGAATCCCTCTCCCTCTCACCACCTCTTTACTGCAACCACCCAACTACAAACCTTGGCCCTCTTGATATGATCCCTTGACTTTGCAAGGAAAACATTTCCAAAGGCATGCAGGCAACCTGACAAAAGACCAAGAGATTTACCATGTTCAGGTCACCTGGTCCCAACTGGGCCAGAACTCAACCACCTAAAACCAACCCAAAAGCAAATGCAATTCCTCAGGGTGAACCCTCTGCCTGAGATACCTGGAGTTGTGAGACACTGTGCAGGCAGGACATGCTGGTTTAACCTGCTGGGAGCTCTGCAAAGGGGCTGGGGGCTGCTGCTGCACCTGTTCTCCAGGCAGCTTTGGCTCCCAGAGAAGGCTCAGAATCTCATTGCAGTATTAGAGAGGAGGGGGAGGGGGGGGTTGATGTGTCATTCCCAGCAGCTGCTTCTGTCCCAGCAGCTGCTTCATGTCCCTGCTGGAAAAAGGCGATGGCTGTGGAACGGTGGGAAGACAGGAGTCCAGCAATTAATATGGCAGCCCTCTGCTACATACTTCTTGTGTTAGCCTGATATTTTGGGGAGGTCGGGGTGGGGAGGGTGATTTTGGGAAGGACATTAGGGGATTGCGAGGCAGGGAAGGCATGGGTTGAACCTAGCTGGGAGGCTTTGGCTGCAACCTATGTGCAAGAGGGTCCTTCAGAGCTGCCATGCGGGAATAGGGGACGTGGGGGATAAATTATCGAGCCTTGGGTATTGCATTTTAATGCAGGAAATGTTCCCTCTCTCCTTGTTTTTTGCATAGCCACAAAGCTCTCAGTCTGTGGCGAGGCAGTGCCAAGCTCCCCAGCCCCCCTAATAGAAGTTGCTTTGTGGAGGAATG